AATTTTAGTACATTTCTGTCAAATCTCATTAACACATTAATCAACCCAATCAACATATAGAAGGCTGTTTCTTTTTCCTTCATTAATAACAGGTTGTATATTCTGTGGCTTCAGTGTGTTTTTATGTGAATGAGAGTAACTACAGTAAATATTAACTTATTTTGTTTATTTATAATTATAAAATCATGATTTCAGAATGTTTGTTGGTATTCAGGTGACCTGTGATTATGAAGTAGTATTTTTTTTTCACTTGGTAGCAAGACATTGTATCTCTGGTAACATTATTTTGTACATTATTTTATTAAAATATTAACTAAACCATGTGTTTCTGTCGAGTCTGTTTCTGCCTGGGTTTTTAGAACATTTGTGGGTCAATTTAGCTTCTCTGGAACAAACAATTTCGAAAGAAACTGGTGTGAAAGTGGGGATGAGTTACAGTTAAAGTATTACTTGTTCAACAAGACATAAAATAAGCTTCATGCTGTGATGGAATGTACATTTACTTCACTTTCAAAACAAAGTTACAAAGTAAAGTGCTTTACAGTAAAAACAAAAGTTAATAATATCCAATCATACAAAAAAGATGAAATAATTCATATAATTACCACAAATACAATCTGTTAAGAAAAAGCAATAAGATAAAAGAGATATTTAAGAAGAGATTTAAAATAGAGCACTGAGATTTTTACTGTTTATAATCCAATTAAATAATATATATCTTATTCTGAAATTTGAGTACTTCAAGTACATTATGCTGTGAACACTTCTACTAAATTTACATGCAGGACAGAGTATTTATGCATTATTGCTCTGGTACTTTCACTAAAGTAAAAGGTACTACTTCTTTTTTTATTTTTTTTAAATGCATCTTATATTGAACAGTTGATTCATATAACCATTAGCACTTTATCTGCTGTTTTTCAGAGTAGGTCAACTGTAAATTTCAATGTATTCAGCAAGATCAATGACAGCAGACAGGAGACCAAGTGCTGCAAAGCAAAGTGCAAAGTGCAAACATTGCTGCATTCAGAGGCTCCTCGGAAAACACAACTTCCCAGGTTCTCAACATCTTAAAAATGTATATCTAATCCAAGTATCGCAATATTGAAGTAACCTAACTTGATTACCTTTCATTACGTTTGGATTACATCAACACCAAATATGCAAATAAAAATAATTGAAAATAAATGTCAATAAAAAGTATTGATGCAAGTGTATTTTTTAAGACAACAGAACAATGTGACCTTTTTAGGAAATAAAGAAAATGGAAAGATGGAAAGATTTTTTGTGTCTTCAACTCAGTGTAAAAAAGTTGTAACTGTACTGTTTCCCCTGTAACTGTAAAGTATTCCACTTTTTTTGTATCCTGATTATGTAACAAATGATGTTACATTTAATCCGTTACTCCCCAAGCCTTCTTTTAAATATTTCTCAAATAAAACATGCACGGCTAACCGTAAAACACTTTGAGAGAGTAAATCAACAAACACTTCAACAGAGAAAACTGGAAAGGTTACACGTTGTCGCTGTAAGATCCGGTAATTCAAGGAGCACTTAAAGGCAGCACAGTTGTGTTCGGCGTCGCTGTTGCTCTTGAACGCAGCTCGTCACCTTTTATCCAACACAACAAACTGCTGCCGGGACAGACAGGAAACAGCCCGCAGCTGAAAGTAAGGTACGTTTTATAATAGTTCCCCTCTCACTGTTAAACTTAAGTGTTGGGATTGGCTCGCAGTAAAACGGTGAAGTTGTTGTTGTTTACAGGACGCTGCCGGAAGCAGAAAGCTGGCTCAGAAGCCTCTTTAATAGTCAGTCCTCTTCAGGTTAATGTAAGCAGCATACATATAGTAACAGTCCTCAGGGGTACAACAAGCTGCTCTACCTGCTGTATGTATGTAGTCACGTTGACACTAAAACACCACAGTGGATAAAATCACCATAAAGATAGACCTTCATTAACTCAGTCACTATGGGAATGTTAAAACTGAAACACACAGGTGTTTTTCAACCTATTTCATGTAAACTGCGTTTTGTAACAGTGTGTGATCTCATAGGCGTAACCCATGATTGATTGACAGCTGTTTGCACCAATAACAGAGAGAGACTCTTCCCCTTGTGGGCTATTATAAAGACAGAGACACAGTCATTAATGTAGTTTTTAATTGTTAAGTGTTGCAGTAGAGGACAGTAAAGTAGAAGACCAGCATGAGTGAGTTGGATGATGTTTGTGTGCCAGGTTTGATGTGATGTCCACATCCAAGACAGAAATGGCAGGGTGGTGACTCAGTGGCCATTATGGAGGGAGTAATGATTTCAGTGGTTTAAGGTAAGCCAAATAGCTTTAGCTTTTATTGCCTTTAATTGATGGTGACAGCTAAAGAGTGACAGAAGAGGGGTGGTAGAGGGGCTGACAGGCAGCAAAGGGCCAAAGGTCAGAGTCTAACACATGACTGCTGCAGCAAGGACTCCATGGGGTCTAAAGGTATCAGGGCGACCTCCAAGAACACAGCTTTGGCTTCTCGAATAAAAAAATCATTTCATTAATGGCTGTAGTCAGGATTTTAGGAATAAATACAAGGCCATGTATTCAGATTTAAATGAGTCTAAAAATACTGGAATCAGCTGAGGGCTAAAAATGAACTCCTCCTGCAGCCATCCCATACTTACCAACTATTGTTCCAAATTGAAGGTCTTACAGAAGATCTTACATTATGAATATAGTATAATAACTTTGTTTCAGTAACTTGCATCACTTCATTGACTTCCTCTGGTCCCCCCATGAATGTTAGTTGTTCCCTTATATCTGAATAAGAAATTGAAATCAGCAACAGTCGTTATTCTTTTAGTCATTGGATGAGTTATTGTTTCTTGCTTAACATTATATATTTGAACAAAAAAGAGAGGAGATCAAACAAACTATTTAAATATTTACAAACTCTAACAATCTATTTACATATAAGCTATAGGAACAGGCTAATCCAGAGAGCCAGTGAGAAGAGTGAGAAGGAGAATATTAAATGCCGGCCCCACACCTACTTACTGCTTGTGCACAAGAGGAGAGGGAGAGACCCCTGCGCTGCTGGCAGAAGAGCCGTAGACTGCGATTTACCTTTTTTTAAATGTTTTTAATTTGAACACCTATAAATTTAAATGAGATATATATATATATATATATATATTATGAATATAGTATAGAATATAGTATAATATATATATATATATGTTTTGTGACACATAAATGTAATAATGTTATTTGTATTGATGCCTGATCACCTGTTAATGTGAGGTTCATTTTAGTTCTCCAGGCAGCCAGAATGACGAGCCTCCAGCTGAGTGCGAAGGAGGAGATGGTGGAGAGGTTTCTGGATGCTGCAGCCCGAGGAGACCTGACCCAGGTGTCTGTGCTGCTGTCACATGCCCCCTCACTCATCAACCAGACGGGATACAGTGGCTGGACGGCCCTGATGCTAGCCGCTCGCAACGGACACTACCATGTGGTGGACGCGCTGCTGTCACATGGGTACAGAGAGTTGAAATGGAGACAAAATAGGGGAAAAAAAGAAAGCAACGCTACACTCAAAATGTTACTTTGAGTTTAAAATACTCAACACAATAGAGTATCACTTTGAAGCTGCAGTCAGAGATTTTTGGCCACCAGGGGGCCAAAACAGCCAAAGCAAGCTTACACACATAGGCCAGCCATTAACATAGAGCCTTGTAAAGCACTTTTGGCTAATATGTTTTATTTTATTATAGTTATTTTCGTAGTTCATTGGTGTTGTTTCTCATGTTTTTATCAATTAAACTAGGAGTACTAAAGGATTGCAGGCCTCACTTCTAAATATTTTGTTTGACCAATTTAATTAATGCTTTATTTGTTAGGTTAATGAATTATGTATATAAATAAATAGCAGTCAATAGCATTATGTTCCCCACTTCTTAGATCATTCCTTCTAATCTCTTCTCTATTTTCAATCTTGCAGCTGTGACAAGTTCTCAGTGAACAGTTCGTCACAGACCGCCTTTGATATCGCCAAATTCTGGGGCCACAGACACATCTCAGACCTCCTGGGTCGGACAGATGACGGCTGCCAGCGAGTCCTGCCAGGCTCTGACCTCAACCAGCACGAGAACTATTTCAGCAGAGAGACGCTGGACCGGCTGAGTGGGAAGAGGACGGACAAAGTCTGGTTGGAGGCCAAACAGAGTGACCCAGACACAGTCTACCTCCTGTTCTCCAACCTCAGCCCCATGGTCAGCAGCTCCCAGGAGGACGACAATGCAGGGGTACGTGGCTGAAGGCAAATGTTACTGATATTTCAGATTTGAAACCATCACTATGTTTGGAAATTAATTCAGATGCTTGACCCTTATTTCAGAGCGTTCTATTGTACACATCTAAAAGCAATCATGACAGTAAGCTAGGGATTGGCTTGAAAATTAAAGTACCATATCATCTGCATAAAGGAGTAGGTTTGTATTTGTGATTGATGAGGAAATGTAACTTATAACTTCATCTTAGCGGTGTTATAATCAAAATTCTATAATGGCCTCATCACTCTGTGTGCTGAGTTTGCCGTCAGAAACCAGACAGTTTTTAACCTGTAGCCAGCAGCTAGTTTAAGTGACATTGTTGTTCAGTCTAACTTTTCTACACATCAAAGATTCAAGTTGTTTTATTCAATGTCTGTGACAGGCTGAGACCAAGCTGTGCCAGTTCAGATATGAGGCAGTTAAAGACCTTCTCCAGGAACCTGCAACTGTGCTCATCTTCTTAGGAGTGGAGAAGAGGAAAAAGCAGTCCTCTTCTTCCTCCTCCTCTCAGACAGAGGAGGGTGTCCAGGAGCCTCCTGCTTGGTTTGCCATCAGCACAGATGAGGATGCTGCTGGACTTCTTAAACGCTGCAGAGAAAAGAACTGCTCCTTCCCAAAGTCACCCAACAGAGACCTGCTGAAATTCAATGAGGAAGAGGCCGGTGAGTAAGATACAGTATCTTGTTCTTTCCCAGAGGCATATTTTGCTGGTCTTTTTCTGCTGAACTCTAATACTAAATCATAGGGCAATGTGTAATAAACAAACCAGCACCATAGCACTTTAATTCTTATAGTTTCATACAGTCTCTTTTTAAGCTGCCATATTGTCAGTGTTAAAATGTATAGTGTCTTTCATGTTTTAAGATGTTTCATGTTGATTTTGTAATGTTTTTTTTTTTAATGCGTGTCTATTGTTGAGGTATGTTTGTTTTTGAATTTGTATGGCTGCTATATTTGATTAAACTAACTGAATGTTCCGTCTCTTCACCCTCTAGGAGTTGTGGCTCAGGCTCGATCAGTGTTGGCCTGGCACAGTCGCTACAGCTTCTGTCCGACGTGTGGCAGCAGCACCAAGCTGGAGGAGGGAGGATACAAGAGGAGTTGCTTGAACTCTGACTGCAGCAGCCTTAAGGGGGTTCACAACACCTGTTATCCACGAGTCGGTATGCAGCTCCACCCCGTTCTCACATATCTGCTCTTGATAATTGCTAATAGGTCGAAGCCTGCAGGAAAAACAGTACAAAAGTACATATTTAAATTCAATAGACGTGTACACGAATGAGAATGTAAAATTTCCAGGTGAAAAAAAATTGTCTAATGTTGTATAAAACATCTGTCACCTATGAACGGAGTGAATATCTGTAACAGTAAAGTGAACATCTTTGGGTATGGGGCTGCTGGTTGGACGGAACAAGTGGTTTAACAAGAACAATAATAAATAACAAAATGAAAAAATAGTCAGAACAGTTGCTAAAAAAATAAAAATCAGTTGTGACTGAAAGGTAATTAATAAACTTCTTCCTCTGTCCTGTGTGTGTTTTCAGATCCTGTGGTCATCATGCTGGTGATCCACCCTGATGGAAACCAGTGTTTACTGGGAAGGAAGAAGATATTTCCAGCTGGCATGTTCTCTTGTCTGGCTGGATTTGTAGAGCCTGGTAACACACACACACACACACACATTGCGTTGATTCACATTAATTCTGTGAAGCATACCCAAACCTTAACCAAAAACCAAGTGTTAAGTTTAACAGTTTACGTAGAGGAGCAGCTTTGTGCACTGTGTGCACCAGTTAAACTACTACAATGTGATGAACATAGAAGTGGCACACAGTGACCTCTTCACGTTCCTACAGGAGAGGCGATCGAGGAGGCCGTGAGGAGGGAGGTGGAGGAGGAGAGCAGTGTGAAGGTCGGACCTGTCCAGTATGTCTCCTGCCAGCCCTGGCCGATGCCTTCCAGCATCATGATTGGCTGCCTCGCTGTTGCCATATCGACCGACATCAAAGTGGATGAGAACGAGATTGAGGAAGCTCGGTGGTTCCCACGGCAACAGGTACAATCATAACAAATTCTGCTACATCTACTAGCACAACTACCAATAATAATAATAATGACAGTAATAGTATAAGTATTATTACTACTGATCACAACCATTAGAATAGTTGTCATGGAGATGGTTCAGTCAATGATGATAATTAAAAAGTAAAATGGATATGCTTACATTAATAGGATATATAACACTATATTTATCCAGAAGAGAAAAATCTATAATTGATATATTGCTTTCAATAAAAATGTAAATAATTTATAATGATTTGAACATATTCTACAATGTTTTGTTGTGTTACAAACACAGCATGTATTCTGCAGAAGTCATAGTTCTTCCTCTTTCTTGACTGTCACTCACAGTAAGATGACATTATTCCCACCCAAAAATGGAGCTTTACAAAGAGTGAAAATGCCAGCCTGGCATTTTAGTGTGGACGAGAACAACTGAGCTTTTGAAAAAGCCTGGCATTAGCCTACTCGTACTGGGTCACATGCTATGTGGCAGTAAAAATAACATTTTGTCATCTCTAACTTGATCTGTGATCACTCATTTAAATGCCAATATAGCCAAATACACAGTACAACCTGGAGTTAAAGGGCAACAAATCATTGAGTATTTCTGTATTAAAGCACAGTAAAAGTGGTGATAGAGAGCAGGAGGAAACAGAACAGAGTTTATAATGAAAAATCTTCCCATTTTCTGACCAAAAGAGAATGGGGGGAAAAAAAATTGGATTTTCTTTTGGTGTGAACGGAGATCTTAACAAAAACAACCTAAAAAAACACATGTTTAGTGTGAATACACTGCTGCAATGAAATCTAACTTTTGGGGTTTTTTTGTTTAGGTGATTGATTCCTTGCTCAGAAGAGCCCCTCCAGCCTTCACCGTCCCTCCCAGACAGACCATCGCCCACCAGCTGATCAGACACTGGATTGGTATCAACTCAAACCTCTAATCTTTAGCACTTTAACCCCAGCCAGTTTAGGCAGACCTGCAGACAGTAAGATGGGTCTAAAAAACCATCAGCTGTCTGGACAGTTGTTGCTCTATCACGACAAACCAGCTGCCAGTCAAGTGAGGTTGTACATGACACAGTGCTAATGTTAAATAACTCCAAATGCACTGCTTGTTTGTGCAATGATACAGCCTTTACAACACCTACAGTTAAAGACAGAACTGTACAAACTGGGAAAGCTGACAAATACACTCTTACTTGACAGCAACAGTCACTTCAGATCTCAAGTTTGGACTTACACATGGGAACTTGCAGTGTGACAGTGGATTAAATAAAAAGTGCAAAGGTTGGGAAGAAATGGAAGCAGCCTTGTTCCAGAAAGAATTCAAATAAATTATGTCAACACTACAGATGCTTAGAGCATAACAAAACCAACATTTTAATGCTGATGCACAATATGAAGACATGTCAAAACAAATATTTTTAATAAATGCCTGGATATGTACAGTTTAATGTCTGTTGGCATTATGTTCATGCAAATGGAAGTTTGTTGTAGATTTTTCTTTTTGACAGCCAACAACATCTATACTGGGATAATGTATACTATATAAATTTTAGACAAATCTCGACATAAAATTTAAGCTCTGCCATTCATTATTACCGTTATCTAAAACTCCACTCTCAAAATCAATAACCATTAATCATCTTAATACATGTAGTTTAATACAGTATTTAAGCAAAAGAAAATTTTATGTCCCCCTGAAAAATTCTTCTTTACAATTTGACTACTGCTAAGATGAAAACAGCAAAATGGCGGATCACTGATACTGATAATTGATGTATAAACGTTGTATGAAGTGAAATGAACTGGAAATATTAAATTGTTAAATTTAACTAATTGTCTTTGTCTGTGGCAACATTTTGTCTAACATGTTTCTGTTGTAAATGTCCATCCATGCATCCGTCCATCATTGACATGCTGTGTGCATTATATTGTTCTTTTTTTTTAAAGGTCCAGTGTGTAACATTATGTGGATCTATTAATAGAAATATATAATATAAAATGCATACGTTTTCATTAATGTATACTCACCTGAAAATAATATTTATTGTGTTTTCATTACCTTAGAATGAGACGTTTTTATCTACAGATGCCATGGGTCGCCTTCCATTGAGGCCACCTTGTTTAACCGCTTTGTTTCTACTGTATCCCAGAAGGGACAAACCAAACACTGGCTCTATGGCACTGGCACTTTCTTCTTTGTGTTTAAAACAGAAGGGTGGAGCGAGGGAGTTGCAATCTGCAATTACACTTCTAGATGCCAGTAAATCCTAGACACTGTTCCTTTAAGAATTTGTGTTTGCATTTCTTATTTTTGATAGTTATCAGCTGAAATACTGTATACAATTAATGTGGGGAAAGAGAAAGAAGGCAGTAACAAAAGTCCCTGACAGAATAGGCCATGTAACCATGCTGTGCTAGCATTCAATGTTATATTAGCAGGTTATTATGTCCAGCAATTTAGTTATCTTCTGTGTAATGGACATTACAACCACAAGGAGTCAGCAGCTTGTCTGCAGCCTTTTGCTCTTTTTTTCTCCATCTGTGCCACTGATCTATCATGCAGTACTGAAGTTGTTGGTTCCGTCTTCGTCTTCGTCTGCAGTTTTTTCATTAAAGCAACTGTTTGCTATATAATCATTCTCACAGATCAGGTGAGAGCAGTTGGTGTGTCCACTCTCGGTTTCAAAATCAGTTTTCCCCAGGAAGGAAGAGTTAACCACATAGTCCTCCTCACAGGTCATCTGATAAACACAGCGACTGTTCGTGTTAGCCATGAAGTCACAAAAAAATGCTTTTACAGCAGTTTCTTTCTGATGCAATGTCACAGAAGAGTCGACCAGTCTGCCCTCTTCCTGTTTCTGAGGAAAACATCTGTTGGCTTCATGTGTCTGATGCAGCGTCGACCAGTCTGCCTCTCTGTTCTGCTCAGAGAAGAAAACTCTGTCCAGATGCTGACAGTTCACTGTGTAGTCAGGATGATAGGACTGAAGAGAAACCAGTTGGTTCTCTGTGATTACTGGAGCATCACAAACATACTCTGTGTCCAATTCGAGGGCTGACAGTTTGGCACTGAGGTGACTGATCACAAGCAGAGACGTGTCTTCATGTAGGTCCTCTTCTGAGGAGGACTGGGAGTTCGGACTGACCATGATGAGACTTTTCTCTCCGAGTACATCTGTCAACTGGAAGTCCTCTATGTCCAGGATGTTTCTCTCTGCAGTTTTCTGTTGAAGGGAATAAGTTTTCATGGATAAAAAGTGTAGATTTCTGGCAGGTTTCCACTAAGGTTTAACTGAAACTATGTTCTAATGGTGCGTCTGTCTATACCAGTGCAACACACAGTACTACATTTTGAGGGATTTGAATATTTCAGCGGAACATCATAAAGCTCCAGTGAAACTGATTCATCATTTCCCCACTAAATTTGATAAAAATCAAGAATCAAATAATGTCTGGTTACAGGGATGGATCCCATAACCTTTCACCAACATAAAATAACCATAAAATAATCAATAAATCATGTTAAAATCAAATAAAAGGAAATTCTAATGACTGGATACATTTTATGACCACTTAAAGTTTGTTGTCTGCAAAATAGATAAGATTATTTAAATTGGCTATATAATATAAAATCAACATCAATCATCTTTTTGGAAAATTGTCTTTTTCTGTGTTGTTTCAACATACTAAGACCAATTGCTAGACAATTCCTGAACTGCAGGTAAAAGACGCAGATTCTTGTTTTCAGAAAAATAAGTCTCAATCTGAGACTAGATATGATTGTTTCTTTGAGCAAGGTGGATTCAGCTCTAAATAATAAATAAATGAATACACACAAACAACAATAATATCCAAGTTATAAGAAACCAAGACTCCTATAAAAAGCAGATCACCTTGGGATGTGGATCCATCAGCCACTGGCCTGCTGTACTGCCCCAAGGGCTGGAGATGGGTGGAAAGAAGTAAGACTTGTACCTGCACAGTAATGGTACCGGAAATAAATTTTAATTCAAAATGGCGTTTTGGAACAAAATATGATGTATGTCTTGATTATCTTTTCAACATACTGTAGTTGCCATTTTTTATCTTCCATAAGTTATTATAACAGAACAAATGACAGAGATGCTAATGTAGTACACAAGCGTCCCATATGATCCAACCAGTCACAAGCCACAATAAAACAACCGTAGGTGCATTCCTGTGTTATTGAAGCCATCAGAATTGATTGTGTGTGTGTGTTGACTCACACAGTCCTGGACAGGATGGAGATGATGAACACAGCAACAGCCAGCAGCAGCAGAGGAGTCGCTGTAGCAACTGCTGGTACCTCATCTGAAATGGAAAAGCATTCATGGTTTCCAGAACTGTGAATCTCCAGTTCAGAATCAAAGGATTACTGTGGAAATGCTTCTTTACCCCCTTCCAAGGTTCATAACAAAATAAACCATTGATGGAAAACACTGACATCTTGTAGCTCTTACAGCTAATTTGCATCTGCATCTTACACACATACCAAAAATATCTGTGACTAGATGACTGGATTGTGACCTCATTTTCTGTCTACGGTGGCCCTGAGAGCTCAATGCACTAACACATGCAAATAGACAAAACACTTGTGTTTGTGTCTAATTCTATTTTAATTCATGCTGCTAGATTTAAGATATAATCTTCCAGGATTCCATTTGACATGTTGTTTTATGTTTACTCTTCACTTGGGTCTCACTTAAAGTTCCAATGTGTAGGATTTAGTGGCATATAGCGGTGTAGTTAAAGACTGCAACTCCCTCGCATTACCCTCCCCTTCCAAGCATGAAGGAGAAACTGTGGTTAGCAAAAAAACGTAAACGTCCCTATACAGAGCCAGTGTTTGTTTTATCCCTTCTGGGCTACTGTAGAAACATGCTGTTTCAACATGACTCCATAGAAGGCAACCGGTGGCATCTATACAGTATATATGAAAGGCTCATTCTAAGGCAACAAACACCAATGATAACATAATTATACATATTATATTCTCTTTGTGCCAATAGAACCGACTAAATGTTATACACTGGAACTTTAAAATGAGTTCTCAATCTCAATGTGACTTCCTGTTTAAAGTATGTATACATGTCAGTTTAATCATTGCTTGAAGCATGATGGGAAAAGCCCAGGAGCAAAAAACTGTTAAACTCACCAAAGTCAGTTTTCACAGGGATGATGTTTCTGGTAACATTATCAGCCAGTAGGATAAGAGAATACTCAGTGTTGGGTTTCAGGTTGGTGAGGGTGTGGTGACATTGGTCTGGCCACAAAGGAAGAGCTAGAAAGGAGAACAGTCTCTTTACAGATAGATTGTAAAAAGCAACTTGCAAATGTCACCTAAAATACATTCGCTGGAGGCAGAGGTATGGAAGGTTTGGATAAAAGTTTCAAAATAATAAGCAACAATTTAACTGTGAGCTTGTTGTGTAGTGAAACAACTACAAGGGAGCCAAGGGAAGCTCGGCTCCTTAAAAGGACGCAAGCTCCCTTAAAAACACGATTTGTGAATGACGATGTGAATTTTTATTTTTCTGTATCTTTATCATCATCGATCATGTGTAAAATTAGGCTATTATTTATGTATTGATGTAAATATCAGATATGCTGACTTATTATGTCCAGCAATTTAGCAAGTTGGCCTACATACATACATTGGCCTACATTGCAGATACGAATGGGGGGAAAAAAGCTGGGAGTTTGTTTTGTTTTCTTAAACAGAACTTTTGGCATTCATTGCTAAATAGATAATTACTGTGACATTAAAAATTAGCTATGAAGAAGAATTTTTCAATATGCTGTGACTTAAATGGCACAATTAACCTGACTGATGCATAAAACATCATTAAAGACACTGACCACGCTGCTCATGTTCTGTTCCTGCTCCATCCATAGAAAAATATTATTAATATATAGAATATATTATATTATATTACGTTACTTCAAATCACACACCACCCCTCTCAGTAACAGTTTCTTGACACAGGCAGCCAGGTTGCTGAACAACCAGCACACCCATATGCACCTCAGACTGTACTGTATACTGTGTGTATAATGTATGACCTTTGTGTACATACAGAGAGCCAGAGCACACAAGCATTTCATCACATTTCTAATACACATCAGTGAACCTACTTTCCTCTCTCTCCGAGCCTTTCCTCAGCATTACTCTGTATCTGTTCACTCTGATTGATCTGGACTTTCTTTGCCACGTCCACCCAACCGTCACTGCAGTCTTGGTCACGTCCACCACCTTCAGTTTAACTGCCTCCATCAGAGCTGAGAAAACACAATACATGTGCTCTGTCAGAAATTAGATGGTGTTCATGTTAATATCTATTGTAAATCAAATTCTGTGGATAAACAACAGCATGTGACAGTTTAAAAAACAAACGTCCAAAATGGTTTTACTCATTTCCCAATAAATATAAGCTGCTAGTCTAATCTCAACAATAATACAGTCTAAAACTGTATTTAAACTAGAGGATGCAGTTAACTGGCTCCAGTCTCTGTGTGGGCTCAAGTGAGCAAACTCTGTCCAGTTTGTAGCTTTTGAAAAAGGCTGAATAAATGAAGAAAGAAAACCTAATAATAGAGTAACTATAGTACTTATACTATTTCTTTAAAAGAAAACTCTGTGATTCTGTGATTTATTCTTTTTTTTGGTTGTTGCTCATAAAATTATTTCAAACTAATATCCAGAAAATAATTTCTTTCTGGATATTCAAAGCACAAATAAAACTGTTGATTTTGCTGACACCACTCATTTTTGGCAAGCCCTGTTCTTCCATTATCCATCCAGGACAGAGGGCTGGATTAGTGCATTGATTAGTGCTTTGTGGAGAGAATTCCACTTATTCTTTCCAGATGTGATCTTGATCACCAGCGCATGTGTTCAGCTCTTCTGACTTTACCTCCCTGCTGCAGACTGGCAGGCAGTGACTGAGGAGATCCACACTGCTGGTTGTAGACAGGGAACACACTGATCAGGTGGGTATCACCAGGGTCGACATCTGTAAACACACCACACACACACAGATAATATAGTACCTGTAAGATAAGATAAGATAAGATAAGATATGCCTTTATTAGTCCCACAATGGGGAAATTTCAACACACTGTTAATAGATTATAATGTATAGGAATATATTGAAAATCTATTATAAAAAGATATTATATTCTTAATAATTATTTACCTCAAATATAGGGTAAACCAGGCCTTCATATAAGATGGGCCTTTATTTTTAATTAGGCTATTTTGTCCTGCTGCCCTTTCAGAGTAAAAGCTTAGCTGCTCAGACACCACATCACATTTCACTGCTGGAAGCAATTTACTGTAAAGCAGCTGCAGAAAGTGTTTGTTACCTATAGCTGCTTCTTACAGCAATTTAGTAACTAGTCATAACAAAACAACTATGTGAGAAATTGGTTTACAGAGGAAATTAGTGTGATGCTTTTTTTTTATGTGCACGATCAAGCATTCGATGTTGAGATGCATATAAAGATTGCCCCCAGTCAAAGGCTTCTATTTTTTGTAAGTGTCAATAAATCCCATGAAAAGACCCAAAACAACTCACAAATATGTAATTAAATTAATAAAAAAGGCTCAGTAATTTCCTAAAACTGCAGGTCCCCATAGTGTTCATCAAAAATGATTCAAACAGGAGGAAATAGTGCATTTGTTGAGGACAATTTGTAGTGGCAGATTAATCTAGCTTATACTTGATTCAAATGATAATATGGTTAGTCATTTGGCCTGGTTTGAACAATCTGACCAAAAATGACACTTTTAACCTATCTGCTAAGTAGAAAGTCTCCAGATATACAGATATACATACTGATCTGCCACATAGGTGTCAATACCATATCTGCCTGCTGATTAGTGACATCTTCACACTGACTGATACAGCTTTTGTTTAAAACATGCACAACCAAAATGTAGGACAGGCATCTTCTCTGGTATAGTTGGATATATTTCCTAATGGATAATTCAGAAAATAAATGAGGTGTTGAATATTTTAACACAGTTGCACCTTGTATGACAGTGGAGGTGGTGAAGCTGCTCACGTTGGTCCAGTAGCTAGTGGATGGACGAGTCTCAGAGTGCCACTGAACAGCAAAATGACTGAGAGGCGGGACAGAGTGCGGGGCTGTGGGGTTCTCCCACTGGACCAGAAGGCCTTTCATAGCTGGGAAAGAGCTGGAAACCCACATGTTTCTGACTGAAGGGAGAGCTGCAGGGACAACAACAGGATTATTTAAAAAGAACAAGATCACCTGCATGTTCATCACCATAATCCGCAAGAACACCAACATAATGTGATCAGCTGCCAATTTTCAGATCTCTTATTTTAGAGATTCCTCCAAGCACATTAACACACCACAAAGCAGCGTTTTTTTCATCCATCTATCTCTTATCTCTGTCTGCTTATCATATTTCAGACTCTCAGGGGAAGAGAACCCTGTGTAGATAAAACGGCTCATTCTAAGTTAATGAAAACACAACCATTATCTTCAAGTGCCTATACACTAATGAAAACATACCTATTATATTCAATTTCTG